AGGAAGCAGCACGAACATCCCAACCCCATCCCGTGGTGTGAGCTGCCTCCATCCTCCAATGCAAGATTCTCTACACCCCCGAGCTTTTTCTTCATCCACACAGCTGTCACGTAGACAGGCACTCGCAAGGCACCAGCCGGCTGGTGCAACCCCGGACTGTGGCTGTCCCCGCCACACCAAGGGGCGGCTGCCACTCCGCTGCCTCCCTTCCTGGTGCAGGGCCCCATCCAGGCTGCACCAGCTCAGAGGCAGGCTGCCAGGCAGAGGTGCTCACCTCGACAAGGAAGCGTGTTTCTGTGTTGTCTACAACTGCGTGACCAGTCTGGTTGGGAGGGCCTCATCCATGCAGGGCCACCACCGCTGCCGCCGCCGCCTCCTCCTCCTCCGCCTCCCAGTGCACGTATATTGCTTGTGCCTCCTGCAGCACAGCCAGGGGCACACGTGCATGCATGCAGGGCCCTCTGTGACACACTGGCTCCATGCCTAGCAGGAAATACTTAAGCTACCACCTCTGGAGCTGGCACTCTGCCGTCTCACTCAGAGTAAACTGTGCAACACATTTCTTTCATTTGTTTGAAAGGGGAAATTAAACTGAGGCATGAAGTCTGACCCGACCGCTGGCATGCAAATAGTTGACCTTTGTTTTGAATACACTTAATGAGACTCAAACAGGATTGTGTGGCCTCCAGCTGCCCGAGTCGCCACCTCCTCTCTGGCATTTGAAGGAGGCAGGAAGAGATGGCAGTGGGCTGGGGATGTGGGAGTGCAGATTGCCCGGCTGGCTTTTCTCAAAGGCACTGAGACTGAGCAAGGTGAAGGCTGGTGGGCTCCGGGAGCTGTGCTCAGTCAACCAGCGCGGAGGCTGTGCTGGTTCCAGCCTGACCCCTGGATCGCAAGCACACTGGTCCACCTACTCACGTTCCAGTGTTCAGGTTCCCAGCCCGACCTGCAGGCCTCCCAGCCTCGCCAGCTGGTGGGAGACATGTTCTTGACAATAGGCAATCTGTGCTGTTTTATAGAAGTGTGGGGCTGACTGAGTGTATCCGTCAGTCCGAGCGAGGCTGTGCTGAGGTAACAAATAGGTTGCCAGACTCAGCCTGAGCAGTGCTTATGTCCCAAGCATGCACATGATGTGGGTGGGCCAGCCTCTCCCAGGGGCAGCTGTGCCAACCAGCGATACGGCCTGGCAACTGAAGGAAGTGCAGGGTCATAGAAGATGTTTTACCAGGCCAGGTCTGGAAGCTGTCTCCAGCACCTCTCCACTCCTGTGTGCCAGGATCCCAGCCTAACAGCAGTGGTGGCAGGAGAGGGCTTCCTGTCTGAGGATGTGACGCTTGAGAGACAAGAGGCCAGGCTGAGAGAGTCGACCCTACACTTGTTGAGATCCTCCTTCTGGAGCCATCCTGGAGGCTCAAGTCTGACCTCCAGGAAGGTAGGACAGCTTATTCAGTGCCTGTGAGGAACCACTGATCAGAAACCTCAAGGTCCCTGGAATGAGGCCCTCCTTTTCATATAAATGTTTTTCTCTTCTAGAAGTATTCAACAAGTAAGAAACGATAAACAAGCTTGAACAAACACGTGTACTGGGCACCCTTCTGAGTTGGCATGGTGCTGGGTGCTGGGTGGCAGAGACAGTAAGTTCTGGAGCTTATGAACAGTGGCGAATATGCAGCAGCCATGAATGTTAGCGTAGCGCTAGGCGCAGCTCAGTGGGTGGAAGGAGGGGCTCTCACTGGACCCAGAGGGGCCAGGTCAGTGCTGCCTCCCAGAAGACTGCGCTGAGCTGAGTCACAGAGCACTGGCCTCAGCCGGGTGGGGAGTCAAAGCCGTTCCCAGCAAAGGAGCAGCATGGGCTTGGGCCCCTAGCAGAGGACACAGCTTCCACAGGCATCTGGAACCAGTGAGGAGGGACAAGTGAGGGGATGCTGGGAAATGAGCCAGCCCAGGCCCTCCAGTATCTCCTAGGCCACCAGGAGAGTTAAGACCTTATTCTGAGGGATGGGATGTGAGCGTGGGCAAGCAAAGTATCACCATCTGTGCTTTTAAAAAATGAGACAGTGGGTTGGAGAATGGATAAGAAGGGCAAGACTGGGGACAGGAAGATGAGTTGGGGTCGCCAGTGAGAGCAACAATAGTCTATACAGATGCAGGGCACAGCTGAGGGCTGCTGGGACACTGGGATCTGGGACCACACTGTGGGTATGGGGGTGCACATGGAGAAACAGGGCAATCCCTCCCTCTCTCTCTCAGATGGAATTCCTGGGGATGGGTGTTTGGGCAAAAGAACATGTACCTCATTGTTTGAGTAGCTGAGAAGCAGCCAGGTAAAGGTGCAGGGCAGGCTGCAGGTGCATAGGAAAGATAAGGGCCAGGAGTGGGCCCTGAGCGTCACAGGTAAGAGGTTCTGCCAAGTGTGCTCATGCAGGGAGGATATAGAGTGAGGGGAGAGAAGGAGACGCGAGACCCCAAGAGTGCCAGCTCTAACGGCTGGGAACAAACGGGGCCACAGAACTGCAGAGGAGGGCTCCGGAGAGAGAAAGATGGGCTGTGTCACGGGAGGGAGCCACAGGGACAGGGGCACCGACTGACAAGTGCGGCATCCACGACCTCGGTTTGAATGATCTCCCCGGAGGGGCTTTCTAGAGACAGAGCAAGGTGGGAGCAGGTTCCAGAGTGAACAGGAGGAGGCGTGGAGCTAAGAGTAGAACATAACCTCTGTGGCAAGAGTAAAGGAGGGGTAGTCAAGGGGGAGTTCGTGTCTGTTTTTTTAACCACGTAATACTGAACAGCTGTTTGTAACAGAATTTTTGTGGCACATATGAGTCAAGAAATATAATGACGGACTAACAGGGATCCACATCCGGCTTTAGAAGCGATGCTCACCTTGCTGCGTGAGGTGGTGGGGGACTCAGGTCCACCCCATAGTCCTAGCAGAGCGGTCAGTGGCTCCCAAAGCCCAGCCAGCCACACAGGTAGTACATGAGCGCAGGCTCCTGCTCCAGGACACTGCGGGATGTGCAAAGGCCAGGGGAGAAGTCAGGTTTACAGAAACTAAAAAGCAAATGTCCTATCCACCCACTGGCCTGCAGCTCCAGGGATCGACAGGTAGAACAGCAAAGGAGCCAGGAGCTCATATCCCAGCCTGGAAAAGAGCGGAAAAGGGGAACAGGGCCAAAGAAACCAAAGTGTGCCGAGACCACAGCCAGGCTGGGGGCACAAGGTGCAGGACAGACCCTCCCCAAAGCTGCCCGCTTCTGCCCCAGCATTGTCATGGCCTCATCTCTCCCCCTGTCCTCTCTGTGCCCTCTGCAACTAAAACCTCCTGCCCTGGGTCCTTCCTGCCTTCCTTACGGGGCTGGCCTTGGGCCCTGCCCGGGCAGGAGCAGCCAAGGCACGGGAATGCTGTGCAAGATGCATTCAGAAGGCCTCTCCAGTACCGTGGTGTCTAGGTCTCCATGACAACGCCAAAGGGCCTTCTGTTCGAGGACTCAGGATGCAGCGTGGGAGACAGTCTGGTGAACCGAGGCCAGCGTGCACAGGTTCCTGGGGGCCAGGACTGAGTCACAGGGCTGGGGCAATGCAGGAGAACTCAGCTCCTGGAGGCTGACGCCTTGCAGAAGCACTGAGCTAGGGTGCGAAGGCTGAGCATCCTGGTCTCCTTACTTTTAGCTCCCTGATCCCAGGGATCACTTATTCTCAGTGAGTTCCCTTGTCTGTACTTGGGGACAGCCATACCCAACACCTCCCAGGTTCTGTAAGGAGCAAATGAGATTTCTGTCAAGAGCTTTGTCCTCTATACAGCGGGTTTACAGATGTCAGTCACGTTGCTGGTGCTTGAGGAAAGCGCAGCCGGAGGGGTCCACAGACTTTTTTCTCACAATGGGGAAGCAAACGATGAAATCCCTACCATCATTAAAACATCCATGTCCACATCATTCAGGCAGGGTGACACAGCTGGACAGAGCGTGTGTGACTTTCAGCTGTGACTGGGTTCAAATCTTGCCTGAGACACTTTGCCACCTGACCCTGGAGAAATCATTTCCTCCTCGCCTGTGAAGTCGGGCTTTGAATGATCCCGGCTCAGGGGCTCGCTGCGAACCTGCAGTGAGCCCATGATCCGGAGCCATGAGTTCACCCGGGGCAGGGGCTGCACGGATGCTGCTGCTCCTGGCTGCGACGCGCGCCCGAGTGGGCTGCTGTTTGTCTAAACTCCCTCCTCTCCGCTCTGTGCCGGCAGGTCCGGGCTCTGTTTCCCTGCGAGAAGCCGCCTCGGCCCACCGAGATGTCCCGGCACCACAGCCGCTTCGAGAGAGATTACCGGGTCGGCTGGGACCGCCGTGAGTGGAGCGTCAACGGCACCCATGGCACCGCCAGCGCCTGCAGCGTCACCTCGGGAGCCGGGGGCGGCACCGCC